ATTATTAGATAAAAACAGGAAAAACTTCGGTTGAGCTTTGCACTACTTAAAGTTTCACGCTATATGCGATTATCAGGTGCTGATTGGGAAGAGTGGAGTGGTATGAGTATATATACTTTAAGTAGTGCAAACCTCAACCGAAGTTTTTCCTGTTTTTATCTAATAATATTAATAGCTTTATTTATTTATTTATTTTTTACAATGAATAAAACAGTTGTACTCTTAGTTGGGAAAGCCACTTGACAGTGCAATTCTTTGAATTGATTCCACTTATGGCTACCCTCAGGTGCTGATTGTACTGTTGTTTTATGTATATTTTTGTGTTTTTTCACCTGGAAATTGAATAAAATAAAATAAAGTAGTGCAAGCCTCAACTGAAGTTTTTCCTGTTTTTATCTAATAATATTAATAGCTCTATTTATTTATTTATTTTTTACAATGAATAAAACAGTTGTATGTCTTGCAAATATTTTTATTATTTTTATATATTTATTACAAAAAAAATATACTGAGTTACTAACCAAGGAAACTTGAAAGCTCAGAAACAAACTAGTCTAGAAGGACTTATCACGCATCATTTATTTATTTATTTATCAGATATTTGTCACAAAAAAATTGCAAAATTTAAAATTTAAAATAAAAATTGAATAAAGATTTTAATTAAATTTAAAATTTAATTATTTTTTTAAAATTTGCGACCAAGGATTTGAGAACACTGAGATACAAATTCCAATTATAAGATGATATAAGATGAATAAAACAGAAGTTATATTGCTATTTACAATTGCCAATTATGACCACACAGGATGACTCCAAGTACACTCAAATTATGTAAATAACCAATGTGCAAATATCTACTTGTAAGTCTTCAGTTACTGGGCAGGATGACAAATATTTACTGTATTAATAATTAGCATCCAGATATTAATCAATTAGCAAATTACAAATTTAATAATGTAGTAACTATTTATGAGGCTACTATTTTTTATGACATACAAAAAAAGATGCTAGGTGGAAGAAGTTGATGCGTTAATGCATTGAGAAACAATAATCATTAGATATCAGAGTAATATTTCGTCAGAAGGAACAGGGCCATAAAATGATGAAAAACTTATAATATTCTTATAAATATTACAAATTTACAAACTACCTGAGCTTGTAAATCATTGATAATACAGTATACAAATAGAGTAATGTTAACAGTTAAGTTACACAAAAAATACTGTATATAAACTCATCTATTTAACCTGTACTTTTCTTAAATTAATTCTTCAGGCATTTTCATTTTTATTGTTAAGCACACTAAGGCTTTAGCATAATGTGTTATATAAGCCAAAATTATTATTATTATATACAATTCAAGAAATATAATACAACAGAAAAGGATATTGTTATAAGTATTAACAATTTACCTGAGCTTGTAAATTATTATACAAATATAGTACGGTTAACAATTAAGTTATACAAAAAATATTGTATATATATAATTCATGAAATATAATACAAAAAGATATTTTAATTGAATAAATAAATAAAGTAGTTTAATCTGAATAAAAATACCATTATTAATAATTAAAAGCAAAAAAATGATGTTAATATAATTTATGTTGTGTATGATATCTAGACATACACAATACAACATTGTGATCCCACTGGTATATGAATGTGGCATTTGAAAATTCTGAGAGTTCTATATTGAGAACACTGATTAATTATTTCTTTAAAATGTTCATCTCCCATCACATTATTCTCAGGGCAACCAACACAGGACTTGGACGTATCATGATGAGTAAGTAGACAAGAACCGCTATGAAGAATGCCTACTGGGCATTGTAAGCCAGCTAATGTTGAACAACACTTTAACATGACTTTTAATTAGGGCAACAACTAAAGAATAGATTCAAATAAATTATAGAAATAAATACCAAAAACAAAAATTATCTTTAACACAATAAATAAAATAAAACAATTTATATTTACAATAACAACAGAAATTAATCAAAAGAAAGTTAAACAAAAGAAATGGCAGTTAAATTAACATAAACAAACAACAACAGAAGTAAAATAGTATACAGGTCTTCCTCTAATTAAAGAACCCTCCAATTGAAGACCAACGCTACTTAAGACCACAGAAACCCCAGTCATTTAAGTGGTCTTTAACTGAAGAGAGCCTGAGAGCTGTTATACTACACTAAATAGCATTAAATCTCTTATTTATATACTCAATATTACCAATTTAATATAAAGAAAAAATACCACCACTATGCTATGAAAATTCACACCTGTAATTTTGTACAATAATGGTAAACAATCTTAGATTGGTACTCCAGATCATTTAGATTGGTACCATGGCAATATCTGTCATTGATCTACCTGAGTTGGCATCCACAGAATATGGTTCTTAAGGAGTCTAATTGTTCCCTGACCGTAAATAACTTCATTGATTTTTAGTAAACATAAACAATTCAACAATGAAGTAAGAAATGGGCTCAGACTCGGCCAGTGTACTCTGTAAATCTTGAAACATGTAAATAAGGATGATGAAATATGATTTTTTTTTGTCTTGCAATATGCAAATTTTACAGAATAAAATGTAGAAATCGAATCAAATTATAAATGTACATGTGACTGACAAAACTGATTAACTCAATTTTATATTTAACTATGTTTGGTTCAAGACTTTTTTAATAGCTTGTATAGCAAACCTATATTTTTAAATATCGTCAGAGGGCGGAAAAATTGACAATAAAATTTGTTTCTTTGTTTAGCAAAATTATTTTGCAAAAAGCATCTAGACGGAGGTAAAAATAAAAATAAAATTTTCTTATTGAATGTAAACAGTAGTAATGAGATTGATAAATAATTAAGGAAGAAATATATATATATATCTTATTTTTGGTAATTTCAAGAGAGCAGAGGGCATAATATATTGAATTCCTTTTTCCTGAAATTTCCAATTGTCATTGTCATGGAGAAGAGGGTGCTAACTGGCCAAAAATAAAATTTAATCATATTTGTAATCACCATTATTATGGTATTAAAGCATCATAATCAATTAATAACATATCATAGTGAGCGTTCTTCTAGTGTAAACTAGTATTCATAGTAATATTGATGAAAAATGGAAGTCCTCATTGTGGTTAACAAATTATAGTCAATTTTAGAAAACCCAACTTTTGAAATGCCCACTTCAGCATATCTGGACACCTCAACACTTTCAAGAAGAAATTTGAAAGGAAACTGCAAGTTGAACATTTGTTATATAAATTAAATCTACAAATTGATTAAATGACCAAAAGCCTAACACTTGACACCTACGGTATTGCAGGTAACAATGAGAAACATGCGATGGCTAAAACAGAATGGGCTTTAGTTCAATACTGGCTATTAGCCACTAAAGGCTATATAATTCAGGTTTAAATCACTGGCTAGACTACACACACACAATGCTGAAAACAGCGTCAAAATATTAAACCGCTATTGTATTTTAGAAATGCTAACAGGTAATTTGCTGACTAATAAAACAATAATATATTGTTGCAAATAACAAGATAGATTAATTGAATACAGGATGTATAATGAGATGTATATTTTATGCTTCACCCACCTATGCTAATAACTTTCTTATACTTACCGCACCCCTTGGCCTGGAGCTTAGTACAAATCACTGGCTAGACATAAGCTACAGGGAACACTGGGTAAACGCTGTGAAATTGTCGCCCTTATATGCCATGTATTGTGGGCTTACACTGAAATTAAATTACTAAAATACTACTTACTTGATCAATAAATGAACAATTGTTTGCATTCAAAACGAATGGTATACACACAGGCAATGTGTCAATAGCAACTTTTCATTTCTAATTCCATTAAATGTATACCGTTACCATAACACTCAAAATCACTCCAAACAAACAATAATCAACCTTTCTGTAAACTTATTAACTTTAATTATCCTTTAATTTTTACACATACTCCAAATTATCATTAATCGAGAAAATATATGGTCATAGAGTTTAGGGGCGGCCAGCTACAAAGGCATCTAATCCACTTTGTTTGCAGCAGCATAGACTACCCTGGGCATTTAATTGGATACGTGCCATACAGTATTCAGCAGATAGGGAAAAAAAATCAAACATCATTTAAATTAGCCTAAAAATTGAGTATTGTAAAATTATATTAATTCAATTCAATGAAATTATATTAATGGGTCAAACCATGACCTGATTATGAAACATCACAAAAGGTATTATGAATGTACGTATTCCCTATTGCTGAATGACATTTACAATATTTATTTATTTATTCAACTTTCTTTACTCTGGATGGCACGCTTAATGCAAAGGCACTGGGTTTCATCGTGGTCCAAATAAAATTTACATAAAAATACAAAAGTGATAAATTGAAAAAGCAAAATGTATGGTAATTTTAACAAAAAGGAATTAATTACAAAATAGAAGCGAGACTAATAAATTAAGTAAGAGTATTTTTAAATGTTAATATAACTGCAAAAAATTGAGACAGAATTGAATAATGTATTCAAACTTGCTTACAGCAGCCTTACTAAATATACAATTTTGTTTAATTGGTAACTAAAGCTAGTAATAATGTA